TCAAGTTAATCCAATAAATAGGCTAGTAGCATAAAATAGCATATATGTTGGCACCTCATAAAACTTATGAAAGGGGTTTACCTATGCAAAATTATGAGACAGGATTCATGGAGTGCAGCGTGGGATGCTTTAAAAAGACTGCTCTGCATGTGATGGTGAACCAGCAAATGTGTAACAATGGGGCAGTTCCTACAGTTGAGAAGCAGGTGACTGCACAGGCAACCACTGCAGCAGTAGCCCAGACACCAAGACACAGTTACGCTTACCATCCTGCCAGCTATTAAACCCTATGGAAATAGACTTTATATTCTTTTCACCTGCATTTCATGTGATTTTCTTTTAAAAATAATGATTCTATTAAGACTTCAATAAAGAATCCTTCAGTGCTTGCTTTTGTTTTAACTAGAAAGTTATGGAAAGGGTGAACTATTGTCTTGCCAGCAGCCAGAGGACAGATTATAATCACTGAAGTCTATGGCAAAGAAAAGAGGAGTGCCCATTCTGCCCTTCAGAGAATCCTAGGACAGCACCTGCACCACCAGCATTCCCTGGGAAAGGAGCTGCTGGGGAGGGTGGCTGACACTGCCCAGTCCCAATGCTGTCATCAGGCTGGAGCCCTATTTCACAGCACAGAACCACTTCCATTCACTTTGGCTTCCTTTTGTGAGATTTGTCAAATGTCATGTCACTCACTTTGCCTGTAACAAATAAAAGTCAATATAGCACACCCATAGGAAAAGCAGAATGCACTGGCTCCCCTTGGCTGAACTCCAGCTTATAAAGTTTTGCCTCATGCCCCTGCACAAACAACTTGGGTGACTTTTATCTGCAGGTCATTTGCATGATAACAGGAGTTCAGTTCCTGAGAAACATTATTCCTCAACAACTGAATATGGAGATTTCAGTGCTGAGGCCTAAGCCTGGCTACAATAAGCAGAAGTAGAAGCTGTGACGATAAGAAGACTAAACAGGTGAGAATAATGTCCCTTAGGATGACAATTAGCTCCAGTAGGTGGCATGTGATTCTAATCGGCAATTGCCAGTGTGAATTGGTGATTGGAGGCATTTGATACTGCCTACCTTTTGGCTGAAATGAAATAAAAGAGAGCTCACCACTGGAGGCAGAAACAGAGGGGCAATGTTAACTGTATCACAATGCTGAAGAAGTAAAATGTTTGGTCTTACAAAAAAGACAAGGCAGATCAATGGTTGCCACTGTTTTAGTCAACTTATATGAAAATCATTTATTAAGATTCTCCTGAACCTTATATAGTATCTCACATCTTGAAACTATTTGCTGCCCTTAAGGATCCTGGTTGACAAATATGTGGAAATGCCTATACAATGCAGACAGATGAGTATTGTCTAACCTCCACATCTAGAAGGTGATGCTGTAATGTCCCTGCAGAGAAAACCCTGCCACATGAGGTGCAAAGGCAGCTTTCTGCAGAGCACAAGAAATCTTCCCTGCACTTACTGCAGTGCTGAGCGTGCGTGGGACGGTTGGTATTTCTACAGCACCACAAGAAACCCCAATGAGTTCAGAGGTTTGTTAGCATTCAGACAAACTGAATGGCTACAGTGTTCAGCTGTTGAGCCACAGCAGAAAGGACTTTCTTCTGTTCAGTGCTCAGTTCAAGCGAATTCCCATACATTGCCCAGCCCTGGTGTGTGATCCAGGTAAGTGTATCACAGTAAAACTGAATACTTTACAGTTCTTTTACAGAAGAAAAACAACTGCATTTCCTCGTGGTAACTTTAGTGTACTTAAATTAGAAGTGGGGAGAGTGCATGTATGTGCTTACTGTTAAGATTTGGATTGTTTAGGGCTTTATTTGTGCAGAGCTGATAAGTGTTCACTTGCCAAGCTGACCTCCAGCTTCACTGCTTGATAGCAATGAGAATTTCTGCTCCCAAATCATAAAAAATATGATGGGCAGATTCAGACCTTTAAGAAAGAAGGGATAAAAGCAGTATCTCTGTTCCTGGGCAAGGCCAGCATGGTTGTTTGCACAAGACCCAGAAGACTAACCCAAGGAAGAGTTATTAAAAACTGATCTCCTGGAGAAACAACTGGAAAGATTACAGTTCCTCAGAAAAAAAAGGAAACAGCAACAGCAAAAACAAAGCAACCCAGATGGCCTATAAGCAGACTAATTATATGAAAGACCCAGAAGCAACTCTGAAGTTACCAATCCAGCTGCCGAGAGCGTCTGCCAGGTTGCCAGATGTTGCCAATGAAAACCTATCTTCCACAGTTCATCAAAGAAGCGGAGTTGCCTGGTGAAGTGAAACCTTTGCCAAGAAAATAAATATTTTATCTAAAAAAATATTTTCTACTAGGAAACATGTTGAAAAATATAAAATTTTAACAACATGCCCAACCCCATGTTACAGTAGATAAATAATGAAACATACATACAGAAGGTATGGCAAGAACTTATTGATAGGAAGTATCTATGCTTAACATTTTATTTCTAAGGCTACAGTCTTGGACTGTGTTAAACAAATTTGTTTTATGAGGCTTGAGGTTGATGGCATTCAGTTTGAGTTTGGGTAACTTGCCTTGAATCTAGCACTGGCTTTTGCCACCGTGAGATAAAAGGCTAAAAGACATCCAAGCTGGAGGAGCCAAAGGTGACAGTAATAAGTACTGGAAGGTGGAGAGACTGCAGAAATGACAGTGAGCCACTCCATGGCTGCCAAGTCACCTCTCCCAGAGCTCTGTGTCCTCCAAGACACCACAAAGAAGGGCAGCAATTCTAGATGGGTAACTTACATTGTGCTCCTGCCAAATTTTATGAACTGAGCACATGGGTGACTGCTCAAAAGGCTTCCTCCAACACTTGGTAAAGTCTCAGGGCAAGGAGCAGTATACATGTACTTTGGCTTCAGCACTGGAGATACAGGCTTCCCAACAGATTCATGCAATGACTAGTTTTAATTTAGTTATGAGATCGAATTTATATTTCATTTTAAATTAGGAAATTATGTATTTTAAAAATCCTGTGTAATTTTTCAAATGTGGTTAATAATGTTGCCAGTGCAGTGCCTTGGAAATATTATGTCAGTTCATTCTAGAGGCCAAAAACCAAACCGCTTGTATAGTCTGTTAGTGAGGCAAAACATCTCTTTTTCCAATAAATGTGTATGGGTGCATTGGGATTCACACAAGCATATCTGGCAGCTTTTTCAAGTCATTCTTGGCCTGCAGAGCATACACTGAACCTGGGGAGGATTTTCTATTCAGGAATATGATATGAATAAGAACATGCTACTGGACGATGAGCTATGGCACTTTTATCATAATTTAATTTGTCAAATGTAGTTTACAATATTTTATAATAGTAATCAATAGGACAAAGTCTAAAAACTGTAAGGGCTAGGGTTGGAGGATGTCATCAATGTCTTTAATAATACATAATTCCTAAATATGCAACTAAATCACTGAAATGCATGAGCTTAATTTGGAGCCTTTGAAAATTCATATCTCTTTTTTGATAACTGGCGACAGCATTTGCAGACCAGACCAGATTTTTCTAATTTGTTTCCTTGGCTCTTGAATGCACCAAATGGGATGGATTCCCCAAGATCAATGTGAAAAACCTATAAATCCCAGGAATATATCCTTTGTCCCTCTCCCCTGCCTGTTTACACCTTGCCTTACCCCAATGACTTAAAGACATTCCTGCAGGAGACCTAAATGTGGCCATTCCTTTGAGTTCCTACAACACATAGATTTATTGCTGACTGTCAAAGTTAGAAACTATTAATATTCATTTGGGAATGCATTTCCTGAAACTGTTAATGGACTTGACCAAACAAGAGTGGGGGAGAGAGTGAGTAGTAAGAAAGAAACCTCCATAACATAACCCATTATTTCTTCTTTAATAAACAAGTTATAGTCTTAATTATAGTATTGATTCACAAAGAAGGCCTTTATCCTTCCAGAGGTTACTTTATAGCTAGTTGGGAATACTGGATGTCCTATGACTACTGAATATTCTTGGAAAAGCTCTGATTTTTCTGTTACACTTATGATGTACATGTGCTTAGATGCTTAAATTAGGTCTCTTGGCATTGTCCTGCATCTAAAAGAAGCCAGGCTACCAGATGTGATGTCTTCAGGGTAGCAAGATAATCAGGTCTGCTGATGCAGCAACAGAAGACCTGGAGACGCTGGCCAGCTCAGTTGCAGGTGATACGCCACCTCTCACCCTCAGGATATGAAATAAGAAGTACATGGGAACAGCCTGCAAGAAGATAGCTGCTTTTCCTTGCATCTGCTGTCTGAGAACATAAAATGCTGCTTTCAGATGATCTGATTTTGATGTCTTTTTCTGCCCCGTTCAAGGGCATGCTGCTTGTCAGCCAGCTCCTCGGCAGAGGTACAAGCAGCGCATGCAGAGACTCTCCAAACTTTGCCACTAACATTCAAAAACAGCTTGTTCTTCCCGTGAGTCCTCTGTAGCTTGTGTAAGATAAGAAACTATCAGAAGACTAAGAGCTTTAAAGAAATTTCAGGCAAATATTTTCTAAGCAGTACCTGTTTCATCTGAGTGGGAAAAGTCCACAATGATAAATAGAAAAATTAAAAAATTAAGAGAAAGCTATTAGTGGAGACACTACTGAGTTTGAGCCTGCCAAGGGATCCCATCAAGCAAGCCCAAAGTGCCAGTAAAACAGTGTTCATGGCGCAAGGACACTAAATGAAATGACACTTCAAAATGTTCAAATATGTACACCCAGTGTGTGTGTGTGTGTACGAGTAAGGGGGAAGGGAGGCAAAAGGAAGGCAAGTCAAAGGCAGACAAAGAGGTGCCAGAGAGGGGCAAAGAGCATGCTACGTTCTGCACTGTAGGCAATCAATGAAATAATGTACACATGAATTAACTCATTAATGATTCCTGGAGTGAATCTTAGAGATCACGAAACACCAACTGACAAGGCTCTACAAAAAAAAATCTGTTTAGTAAGTGAAAAATATACCACAAACAAACCCAAGTTGGTTTCAAATTTATTTATAACTCAGTGTACAATCCATAAATCAAGAAACAAAAGGCACAGTATATTTTTAATCAAAGTTTTTGGAGCTCACAATATACGGTATAAGAAATTGAATTGATAGATCATTTATTATTGTCATGAAACTAAAGGCTTTATATTCTTAAGTGAAGTAAAGCGGACAGCAATATGTTCATATTAGAAACTTCCTACTGTGAGTGAGAACTGGATTAAAATTGAGATATTGCTTAGCGAGACAGACAAATCTATATTTATTTTTGTCTGTGAAACTATTGCAACCATACGTAACCTATAAGTATAAAGAAGTGGCACTGGGGGAAACCACCTTGCTGGTTTGCCCTGCGTGTGAGTGTTTGGCAAACGCAGCCTGCAGGGTGTGTAGTCCATTGGCACATAATCAGCTCTCTGACCTGTAACGTGTACATTCTGGAACATTAATTGGCACAATTAAAAAGTTATTTAGATGATGAGCTTGGACCAAAAAATGTTCCTGCTTCTCAGAATCCTGAAATGCAACTTGGACTTCCTAATAAGCTGGTTTAACTGTTCCCAGAGAGATTTTACACTGGGGGGAGGAAGCAACAGTCAAGGACCCATGCAACACACAAATCTGAACAGTCCAGCATGTGTCAGTGCAAAGAAAATTTATTCTATAAAGTGACTAGTGTGAGAAAGACTTAGAAAGGATTATAAAAATACACTACCATATGTTGTAGTAGTTGAAAGTGATTAATCCAGTTCTTAAATCCCATTTTAAACTCCCTTTCATTTCTGTCTATAGAAAAATAGAAGCCAATTGCTTTGTTTGAATGCTATGTAGTTAATTACATCTTCTAAGAAACTATTTTAAAACTAAATGTAATGTTTAATTACAAAATGCCCTCCCTAAAAACAGTTAGCTTGTACATTGATTTGTAGTTCATTAAAAATGCTTTCTTAATTATATTTCCAGCCAGAAAATACATAGACACTAAAGAGTCTACAGAGAAATTTTGAAATCACAGCATGAATTTGTGAGGAGAAAGTTACACTTCAAATAGCGGACAACTGACAGCCACAACCGCCTTCCTGTAATTCCAGAACTTAATTGTTGTAAGAATAGTAATTGGAAAGCAGTGTTCATTGTAACGGCTATCAATACCACATTTTTTTTTATATGAGTAGATTTTCAAGGACTAATTAGAAAGCAAATCAATTGCACCAAACAAGTGTAAAGTTCACGTTAGCTGTCGGACCGATCACCTCAACACGTGGGGTTCACGGCTAAGGGCAGCCCGCGCTTTGGTTCGTAGGGTGTTGTCCTGGAAACCATGCGGATGCAGTCGATAACAGGGCAGACGCTGAGACACAGGGTGCAGCCTGTACAGCTGTCAGTAACTGTGGGCAGGTGGGTTTCAGGATCAAACTGGATAGCCTGCGAACAGGAATAAACATTATTGATGTCACTCACAGAAAAGGTCAAAATTGCTCCCATTTCAGTGTCTGCATTTCCTGTGGTACAGCACTTGCAGACATCTTGGTGTGATTCTGCACTGCAGCTATAGCAACTGTTCAATTGGCAGGCAACAAAAAAACCCCCTCTCCGGACACTGGAAACTTAGAGATGTGGTCCAACTTATACCTTGGCAAAAGCTCCTAGGTCACAAGGGCTGGTTAAAAAAGGAGGAGTTTGGCCCATGATATTTAAACTCCCACAAGGTATTTCTCCTTCAAATGAAGGAAATATTTCATAAGATAGCAACGTGCCAGGGTATTGGTTCAGAGGAGACACCAGACCATGCCTATATGGCTTCAGCACAACGCTGGTCACAATGTGTTCTTTTGACTTTTATTTTCATCACAGTAGAAACAATCTACTTTAATAAACAGTAGGGAAAAACACAGCACATTGTGTGTCATGTGATAATTTTCCTTTGCAAGTCTTCAAAAGGGATATCAGAGTTTGGGGCATGCAGAGCTTCCTTTAGTTCTTACATTCCATGCAGTGAATCCTCATTACCAATAAGGGTGATAACTGTATCCAAATGTGAAATAACAATTACAGTCTCAATGAAATAAGCTCCTGGTATAATGGAAATAGCAATTAAAAGCAAAAACAAAAGTATCACACAACTGCAAAAGCTTCAATGTCTAAGAAGCAAGAATATAAAAGTAAAATATTAGAAAAACCTGCCCAAAACACTGAACATCTACTTCAAGAGTTTAGGAGGGAAAATTAGGCCTGAAAGCTGAACTCTGGCTTCTGTGCAAACAAGCAGTGTCTTAGCAAATCTCCCTGACCACTGTCAGCAACTAGGGCAGGCAGGGAGGTGATAGGAGGTACTGGCTGATGCTGCAGATGGGCTTCAAAGGCAGATTTGCGGCATTTGGGGTTTCACTGCTCAGACGGCACAGAAGTTGCTGTAGCAACCAGAAAGGGCATGAAGTTGGTAGTAACTACCCTGGATCCATGAGTTTTAGTTTAGCTTGAGCACAAAGAGAGCTCTGGCTTGTGAGTATTTAAGGAGGACTCCTTTCTCTCTCACTAACAACAATGCACATCTTGAAAGGGACTTCAAAGAGGGAGAGGAAGTCAGGACTACAGTGCTAACTTCAAATTAAGGAAAGGTTTTCCGTTGGAGTCATACAAGGTGACAGCTCTGTAGAGCAGCATGGAAATTTCTGAAACAAAGGGAAGTATAGAGCAGATGCTATTTTGAAGGGGGTGTGTGTGTTGTTGATTTATTTGCAATTAAGAATTACTTTGCAATTCTTTGCAATTAATTTCTTTTCAATTTCCTTAATTAAATAAGTCAAAACCATCTTTTTTTGTGCTTAGAAAAACTCCCGGGGCTTTAAACTTTGGTTCTTTTGGTGCTGATTTTTTTTTCAGTTACAGAAAATAAAATTTTACTAAATATAAACCCAGTCTTTTGCTCACCAGGGGCTATATCCTCCCCTTCAATGGGAAATCTGATGTAAGGGGAAGAGGTGAAGACTGCAGTGTCAAGAAAAAATTTAGATGGTTAAAAGGCTACTGTAGTAATCTACTTTGGTATAAATATAGCATTAATTTTCTTGTATTGGGAAAAAAACATGTTTATCTTTGCTCTGATATACTTGTTTTAATTGCAGGAGTTGATTTTAAATGGAAGACTTCTTTCTGTGACTGTATGTAGTTCAGTTCCTCAAACCTACTACTGATTAGACTGAATTAAAGATGAACACAAACTCATGGTGTATCCAGAAGAAACTTGCTGCTCATTTAAAGTATTTATTTCTGACAAGCTATTCTCAGACTAAGATTTATGGAAAACTTTGTGTAGAAATTATTGTTTACTGCATATTGGATTCCATGACAGTTATGCTAGACCATATTTTGGTTTTCTAAAAGAAATGAGTTTTCCTGTACTGCCTTTTTTGCTGCAGACCAGTCCATCAGCTCCAGTGGACATGGCACAGAATGACACTAAGACACGTGGATACATATCATACATGTTATGCTACCATACTAAGCAGAAATCAGATGAATATTTTGCTGCAAACAGGAGCCTCAGCTCAAAATTTTGCTATTTGCTGGTCACAATGATTTCTGCAAACTTCAACCTGCTGCTCTAAACCATGACAGTTATCCTGGAGAAAGGATTTGTATACTCAATCAAGATCAAAACAAAACCCCACCTGCCTGAAACCAGAATTAGTTCAAGTTCAGTTATGCTGTGGGAACAAGGACTGGGTTTCTTAAAAAGCATCTGGCAATAAGACCAGCCCTTGTCAGGAAGGGACATGTTCTCCCTTTCGCCTTCATGTACTTGAAAACCATCAAGAACTACATTTACTGCCATGTAACTTGGGACTCCTTCATTTTCGTCCTCTTAAAAAGAATCCCACTTGCAGTTAGGGAGGGCCGGTGACAGTGACATGCTCTGCTGGGCATTGTCGCCACCTTTCACACAGCTCAGGCAGGACTTGTGTGCCATGGCCTGGGAGCATGCTGGGGTTTGAATCCAGTATTTTAGGCATCTGTTTTTACCACCTGCTCATTAACAGAAGGTGAATTCTTTCTTCCCAGCAGCAGAAAGATAACTCATCGTGCCTTTCTGCTAATTACAGCTGTGCTCTTACCTGGTAGCCAGAATCATTACAGGTCATGTAGCATTTGCCACAGTTGATACACATTTCCTCGTCAATCAGAGCCACAACTTGCTCTGTGTTGCACAGATCACCATATGTTCCAATATATTGCAGTGCTTTTCCAATTACATCCTAGGGGAAAAAAACAGTTACCGACTCATTTATAAGATACCTAAGCAGTTTCTACAGCTGCACAGGAGCACTCTCTAGTACTTTAATATGGAAGATTTGGCCATGCATTTTGATGATGTTTAGGATTTTTCTTTTAAATTTCCAAGTTGCTGACCTTCATACCTCCCGTAAAATACAAAGAATGCTCCATAAGGCACATTTTGAATGCAGGCAGTACTAGAAGTATTTGGTGTACAAACATTCTACAAATAGGTTACACATTTGGTCCTTGATTGAAAAGTGCTCAAGATCAAGCCAAATAAGAGACACAGACAAGTCTGCCCAAAATCATAAGCTTCAAAGTGTTTACCTTTGTTCTTGTGTTGCCAAGAAACATGATAAGGATTTATTTTTGAATTCTGTTTCTCGATATTTTTGAACAAGCAATACTAACCTTATTCCTGTTAGTCCAAAAATTATTCCAACATTAGCAGCAACCATTTTAAGTGTCTAGTAGTATGTTGTATTTAACCTGTATGATTTATAATCTCATACAATGCTTTATATATATTGTTTTCCACTCTCATTGCAGAAGAACAGAATTACAGCAACTTAAATTTTCATTGTGTAACTTATTTTGGGCAGCATTACTTTGAAAAAAACTAAACATCCCTAATTATTTCTATGCCAAATGAAAGCAATGGTTAATGTGGCTTTATCAATGTCAGCTCTAAAGGAAAGCTCTGCTAGATGAATTAAATGAGAAAGTGTCTTCCTAGTCTGCTAAGAACTTGCAAAACCAGCTCTGCTTTCTGAAAGAATGAAGTCTACCTGGCCTTCAGCACTTGTACAATAGTATTTTTATGTAAAGAAACAAATCTCTTTCTTCACTGGATGCAGTAGTAGTATCTATGAATTTGCTCCTAATGACTGTTGAGGTAGAAAATTCACCCAAATCCTATGCCCAAGAAGAAAGACTGGCAAATGGTACTGTTTTCTTGTTCCAAAAACACTCAAATGTTTTCTCTCTGCCAAACCCCTAAGTTGCTGACATGTGAAATACCTTGGTTGCATTCATTCAATGCTAAAAGCCTTCCAGTTCTTCTCAGCATCATGCAGAGAACATTAATGTTCTTCCAGCATAAAACAGCTATGGCACATTGCTAAAGGCAGCGTGATGAGCGTGGACAGATGACTGTGAGCAAGTTATCACGGCTTAATGAGTTAGCACTCATCAGTAGAGCTGTGTGAGCCGATTATGTGCATGGTCCAAATTCATTGCAAATTTGAAGTAAAATCTGTTTGCTTAAACTACTGTAAAAGGTCAATTAACTACTATGAAAGTGTTTCAGCTAATACTTTTTACTAGAACAAGACTTGAACATGCAGCCCTTTACTGTGACTCCACTGATGAGCTACAGTTACTAAATCAAATGTGATCTCCTAGGAACTGCTCATATCCCTGTCTTTTCAGTTCCACTTCTTACTCAGAAACGTTTATGGATTTACTGGATTTGCAGCAGTTTTCAGGTTGCTACAGTTCTCAGGTGTCTGCAGTCTTCTATGTCAGGTGAAATATTGTAGTAGTAGAATTCAGCTCCAGCTTTTCTAAACTCTCATGTACGCTTGTCTGTTGACAAGTCCCATCTTTTGAACCTGCTATAGGTTTCAAAATTCACATTTTTGTGTGATCTACTGCCCCCAGAAATACTAAGTGTCCTCTCTTGTGTGTATTTATCTCCAAAACGTTCCACTGTCAAAAATGCATGTCTCCTGCAAGTGATGATCTGTGTACTGAAGAATTTAAAGAAATGATGTAAAATCTGCACAACATACAATGAAGAAGCTTTCCACTGCCTGCCTATATTGCAAAAGTATCAACATGGGGAGATTCCTGACAGTGAAGGGCTTTTCAGTCTGAAAAAGCATATGTTTAAATAGCATAAGCAATTTTCTCAGGGAGGTTCTGGATTCACATCTGTAGTCTTTAAATATTGTTTGGATGTTAACAAAACCCACAGAGCTCAAGCAGGTTGCAGAGATGGGCTACTCAAATAATCATGAAATGGAGGGCCTTGCTTGTGAGAGAAGACAAAAAAAACCTTACAAGATGTTTAGCCTAGGAAGATGAAGGCAGAGCAAGAATATGATGTCTATATATACATCAGGGAGGGGAAAGACCTATTTAAGTTAAATGACAATGCTGACACAAGAACACGCGATTATAAGCCAGCCATGAATAAATTCAAAGCTGGAAATTAGAAGAGGCTTTTTAAATGGGAAAGGAGTGAGGTGGTTAATGGCCTTCCAGGGAAGCAGCTGGAGGACACAGGGGAGGCAGTCCAAAGTTTAGGATACCATTAGATAGCTCAGGAAGTGCTTGCTTGCAACAACATAATCAAAGTTGATTTTTTCCAGCTACAAACTCACAAAAGGAATAACAAAAATAATGCATGTAGCATGGTGATTTCTGAATTTGTAACCAAGTCTCACTTCTCATAGCCTACAAAAATACACTTTTGGGGACTTAGAATCCCAAATAGGGAGGATGATGGCATTTTAGAGGCCTGAAAGTGATTTCAAAAGACTGTGTCAATGACTTACTGCTAATTTACCCTCTTTGCTGTTGTGTCTTTTAATCACTTCTTTCTCTCAAGCAAAAACTATATCTTCATTCATTTGCAAAGTTTCAAGACATTATTGACTAAAAAAGCAACGGTACTTAAAAGATGTTCTGCAGGTGCACTCTTTTACAGCATCTCAGGGCTTCTTGTTTTCATAAAATCATAAATGTTTGGAACAAAATAAACAGTGCAGCAAGAAATAATCAGCTTTCACTGTTTAAAGTGGTTTCACTCCAAAAAGCAACTGTCTAAAATGGCACTATGGGATTCCACACTTGATATATCTCAATGGCCTCCAGATCAAATGTGCAATGTTTACAGACTAATTTTTTTTTTTTTTTGCCAACTGCCAGACCTGCAAACAGGAGCCAGGTTCTGAAAGTCAAGTTGTGTTCTTTCTGGCTTATGCATTACCAGCAGCAATAAAAAAAAAAGAAAAAAGAAAGAAAAAGATGGAAGTTAAATTTTGTCCTAAGCTGCACCTTTGAGACGGCAAGGACATGGGGTGCTCCTTTTAATTACTGCTGTGCTGTCCTGCTCTTCTTAACAAAACTGTACTGAATGAACTGGGAGAGGAATGTTGTCCTGCAACTGGAACTGTCAGGGAATTCAGTTGCTATGGAGAGAATTGGAGCAGAATCCATTAGTTTTATGTTACTAATGAGTACAGAAAAAAATATTCTTTTTGTCACCAAGCTAGGCAGATGTGATTTTGAGCATACACAAGGAGCAGATCTGTTCAGTAGAATATTATTTTTGCAATGCTATAATAGCTGCATTTTAATCTAAAGGTATCAAACATTTTATGGTGATTAGCTTTTCATTAGCCATTATATTAGTAAACCCATATTTGTAAATACGATTCATGGTTGAGCTCTGGCTCCTTGTAGACCTGCTGTGTCCATCTTCATGCAGACCTTTTCGTGTAAGACCCCACTGTGCTCTAGAGATGATGAACATCACAGGCCTCTCATTAGAAAGCCATACACAGTGCAGGTACTGCACCTCACACAGCAAGTTCAAAGGGAACACACATTAGAGAGGTACCTGTCTTCCACATGATCTTTTTCCATAATAAAGATGAGGTACTGACAGAAAGAGAGAGATGAAAAGAAGAAATGTTAGAAACAAAATTACGGATTACAGAAGAAAAAGTCACCAGAATCTGAGGGTACATGATCAAGTCAATTTACAGTAAAGTAGCTAACTATGTAATCCGATTAAAACTAATTTTACATTGAAAGATCACAGATACTTTGCCAATACTTAAAAAAGGTGCTCTGAGAATTAGGGACCTCTAAGCCTTGTTTTCAGTAAAACAGTTGTGGTACCAGCTTAAGTGGGGCTTACAAAATAACTCATAGAATCTAGGCTATCCTGCGTTGGAAGGGACCCACATCATCGAATCCAATTCCTGTCTGTGCACAGGAAAATTCCAAAAATCACACCATGTGCCTGAGAGTGTTGTCCAAACACTTAGATGAACCTTTATGTTATTATTCAATAAGGTTTCTGTAATGAAAATTATGCCTTGTGTATCTATCACAATTCTTTATGAAGACTGCGAGGTCTTTCAAATAAAAAAAAAACCTCAAAACCCAAAAACACTAGTAATTTTTATGTTTGACTAGGCCTCTGACAGAAGCCTGTGATACAACAGAGCTCTGAAATTAAGTAGTCATGAACTGGGATTGCAAGTTGGTTAAAGAACAAAAACAAAGCAAAAAATAAAGATGTGGAATACAATGACAAATGTTCAGAAAATGTCAAATATTAACAGAACAAAGCATCTCAATTTTCTGGTTAGATATGATGTTGTTTAGTATGTTTGAGTGTCTTTCAGGAAAAGATTTGAACCAGAAGAGTGTAGAGTTGGTACAAATTTTAATTTAAATTGAAGAAAATCCAAGAAACTTGTAGGTATTTTAAAAAACTAGATGAAGAGATACTATCACAGTGAAAAAATGCAGCTTGACAAACATCTTATCAAAGTAAATAACTTTTGCTGATCTTGCCAACAGATACATTCTAGATAAAAAAATCTGAAAAAGAAAACACAGTAGGAGACACTATTGACAACTCACGGAACCTTCTGCTTGGTGTGCTGTCCTGACCAGAGGCAAGCAAACTAGCAAGATTTTAAGATAGAAAATAGCACCATAACTACTGCAGTGCTGTTGTTATAATTAATCAGCCATGATGTGGAATACAAAGTCATTCCAGTTTCAACCACAGAAGCACAGTGCCCTGGAGCACTGGGCAATGATTAATGGGAAGAAATTTAACAAGCCCAAATGCCAGATTCTGCACCTAGGATGGAGAAACGCTGGGCAGAAGTATAAATTAGGAGAGGAGTGACTGGAGTGCAGCCCTGCTGAAAGGGATGTGAGGGTGCTG